TTCTAAGTTTTGTGCTAAAATTTATTTCGGGCTACTCTATTATTCCAACTGTGAATCAACATGTACTCCAGGTAGTATCTTATCGTAGCTCTGAATGAGACCTCTCCCTAGAGAATGTCTTCAGAAAGGATGGCAGCTTTGGAGTGTCAGGAAATATACTGTGAATAAGAAGAGCTGGAGCTGCAAGGTGGGCATTAGGAGTAAGAAAATAGCAATATTTAATGATTGGGCAAATATGCCTGTCAAAATGAAACTTAAGTGGAGGGGAATTTCAGGGAGGGAAAATGCCCCCCTCCATATTCATGGCCTCAGTGCATTGCCAAGGGACTCAGGGAACCGGCCAAGCCTCACATAATTGAGTAACATGACAATCAGCCATGGTACTGTAACAGAGATGATTTTTATAAATAGGGTTGATAGCAGGATTTTCCAGCTTCTGATTGCTGTCTGGCTATGGTTCCACCCTTAGAAAAATTGTCCTTAGAGTGCCAAATTCAGAAGATGATTTTGCCTAAGTTGTTACTGCCATATTTTCTGAATCTCTTAAAATAGAATTGAATCATAATTTTGAAAAAGGACCCAACATGCAAAAATGGATGGGCATATAGGATGAGGCTAGGTTTATGAGATGTGCTTGTCCCATGAATAATAAAATCTCTCCTAAGTCCAAAAATTTTACTGAAGCACAACTTTTGACATTGCACTAATTCAGAGTGGGCTCCTTTTCATCATATTTGCTTTGGGGACATAAAAATATTAGATCCTTGTTAACTTTTTCAAGGTGGTGTTACCCCAAAGAAAACCCTGTCCTCTCTCCCTCTTTTTTTCTCCCTCCCTCTCCCTTTCTCTCCCATACCCATACACACTATAGCATTTGAACAAAATGATTTTACCAAGAATTTGTTCATGACTTGTGACAATGACCTAAAAGTATTAGCGCTTTTTCCAACTCATTTAGACTGCCATTCAGGAAGAGGTGATAACCCCTAGCAGCACTACCCCCTCATGCCTTGAGTTAGACCCTGTGCCTTATTATGTATTTTGTTGGCATTTGTGGACCTTATGTAAGCAAATTGAATGCAGGTCTGGCTTCACATTCAAATCCTTCTTTACAAGGATGCTGGGAGGCATCCCAGCTTACAATAAATACCACCCCCTCCCTTCCATGGTCCCTGGGAAATAGGTGATATTGTTTCCCTCACTTTGTAGGGGAGAAAAAAACAGTTCAGAGGTACAGGACAGAGCCGGGATTTGAGCCTGGATCTTTCAATTCTAAGCCAAAATGCCTTCTGATAGGGTACCCCACTGTGAGGATTTGCACTTGACTGGAAGAACAGGGGGAACTCCTTAGGGGAGTGCATTCATTGGGCAGCCCTTTTCAATCTTAGAAGCAATTTCATCCATCTTTTTTCTTTTTCTGGTCCTTCCTTCATTTCTACTCTTTACATATATGCATCTTTCACTTCCAGAGACCGTTCACTTTCCTACACTCTTTTCTCTACTTTAAACAGACCTTGTTGTGTCAGGAATTCTTTCAATTGCTTGACACTGGGTTAGGCAGCCAGTGATAAAAAAGGTGAATGGAACACACTTCCACTTTCAAAGGCAGGAGTCGAGATAGATATGTATCAAAAAACATAATTCAAGTCTAGTGCAAGGAATACTATGATGTATGCATTTTGCTCCTTGAGCCTAAGGATAGGACTTGGCATATGTCATTTCCATCCCCATCTCTTCCAAGTCCATCTCCTTGCCTCATCTGCTATTTTGCTACTGAGAAGTTCAGCAAAACAAAACAAGAAAACAAGCAAATGAAAAAATTTCCAAAAGCCTGCCCTTGGATAAAACCAACCTAAACAAACCGTCAAGATAGGCACATCATTCCTCCTGACTCACAGGGATGAAACCACACTAACTAGATCCAACCAGGCTAACTAACTCTGGGAGACATAGGGGATGGTGATGAGCCCTATTTCTGCAGATTCAACGGAGCAGAGACCCAGGATCAAGTTCTTAGTGTTAGCAGTTAGACATGAGCAGTGGGTCCACAGTTTAAGAAAATACTTAGTACAGAACAATTCAGTTAATCAGCAGCCCTGACTCAGTGGTTTTTGCAAGATCTGACAAGACAGCTACTTCAGGACCCTGGCCTGATCTCATTGCAGGTATTATCTACTCTTTGGTGTCACTGGCAACTGTTCATTTTGTTATTAAATGAATAAATGTACCGTTTCTATGGCAATGGCCCCCATCAAAGCTTTATGGCTTTTCTGAGCACTTGAGGATCCAATTCTGCTCACTTTCCCTAGCAGAACCAGTAGTGCTTATGATGACAGAAACCACATGCTAAAGTGAAGATAGCGAACGGTAGTCCCAGAATTTGACTGGGAAGCCACTCACTGCCTCTGGTTTAATGGAATTGATAGCTATGATTTTGTTTCCTTGGGTCAGGTCACCACTGGAAAAAGAACTTTAAATCCTGCTAAATAAAGCAGTTAAGGAAAATTCTAGATTCTCTGAGGCTCCCAGCTGATGATGCTTTGTGATCTTGCACTGTCTCTATCATCCTAATGTTTTCTTGATGATGACACAAGGCAAGCCCTGAAAACTCATTGATATCCTCTGTGGAAAGAGGCCCTAGGCATGGGAATTTGCATATTGAAAACTCGTCCTGTGATGGACGTGGTGATGAGTTGCTCAGCACCCTCCCCCTGGAAATGAAGGACTTGCTTCTCCAGTTGCTGGGGAAATTCCAACCAACAAACAGTCCTCAGAAGCCTGCCCCATTAGGGGACTTAGCAATTCCATTCAAGGTGATATCTCTCTCTGGAGATGATCCCCATACAATGATTGGATAATAAAGAGCTATAATGACTTAGCCCCCTTGACACAACTCAGGACAGCTCTGTAGGTCCATCCTATAGAACAGAGGAGGATTCTGTGAGATTGCATCACAGTTCAGCTTCACCCTCTGTCCAACCTTTTGGGCAGGTACTGATCCTAAGAACATGCTTTAATGAATGTCTCACATCCTAATCATCATCTCAGGTCTCTCCCCAGGGAACTTAGCCTATGGCATATCCCTAGATCTACAGGTGGTTCATATCGGGAGTATCCCCAGAGGAAGAGTCAAGTTAAGGCAGCCACCTGGAAAATGACCACCAGGACCTGGCGGTATTCTTGGACATGCTGTTGAGTTTTACAGTCCATACAAATCTGTTCCAATGCTTAATTTAAGTGAACATGAATGTTCACATTTGCTGTCTAACCTTGATAATGACTAGGCATTATCAATCCCCCTGCAGAAGGATTCACATACTCACATGCCACCTCAACTAAGGGTCATTCTCATAATTTCTTTCTCCTTATCCCTCAGTTTAAAGCAACCACTCTAAACTCTATTCCTCTCAGAATTTGGTTTTCATGGCTTTATAATTCATTCACCAACATCGATTGAATAAAACCTTCTATGTGCCTTGCACTGTGCCCAGAGCTGGCAATGCAGAGATGGAGATGGCACAGAGATAGATCTCTCACACAGTATTAGTGGTCAGATGTTCAAAATTAGTTTCATTAAGATAAAATCAAAATGTCAATAGTGCGGGTTCCTCCTAAAAGTTCTAGAGTAGAATTCATTTCCTTGTGTAAACTAGATTTTTGAGGCCATCCATATTCCTTGGCTTATTAACCCTTCATCCATTTTCAAAGCCAGGTGCATAACATCCTTTCTTCCCTCTAACCTTTATTTCTGATCTTTAGACCTTCTCTGTCTTTGCTCTTATAAGGACTCTTGTTTGATATTGGACCACCAGCTGATCCAGGCTAATTGCCTCATATCAAAATCCTTAATTATATCTGCAGAGCTCCTTTCACTATGGAAAGTAGCATATTCCCAGCTTCTGGGGGTTAGGTTATAGACAGTGTTGAGGGGGGTCATTATTCAACCTCCAACACCAGTGACCACACCCAAAATGGTATTCCAGGCATAGGAATGAGCATGTCCAAAAGTAAGGGGGCACAATTTTTTGTGATTTGGGTGGCTACAGATATTTCATAAAGCAAAACCATGATTTTCGGAGAAGAGTCAAGGGATCATGGTGCACAGACATGGAGGAGAGATGGTTCATTCAGGACACTGGTTTTGAACTTTGTTTATAGTTATTTACATAAGCTTCTTATCTCCCTATTCATCCATAAATACAAAGGGTCAGGATCAGGGCCAGTGTCTTCCTGATGCCCCTATAGCCCTGGCTTAGTGTGGCTTATGACAAGACTCAGCACATTTATATGACATCAACAAATTCCAGATTTACTAGGGTGCTGTGGTGTTGGGGTAGTTTGAGCAGAGATCCAAAGGCATCTGAACCAGGTTGGCATGCTTCTGAGTTTCTTCATTTTGGCAGTATTACCAGTCTTGCACATCACTGGGTGGGGACAGTTCTTGAGCTGGTGACGTGTGTGAGCACAGGTTGGAGACGGCTTTGGAGTGTCACATAAATTAAAAGTGATCCCTGTTGAAACTGGAAGATGGGTCTATGAAGGCTCATTGCATCCTTCTTCTGACTGAACATTTTCATAATGTAAAATATCTTAAAGATTACTTTAGCAGAAGTGAACTGCAAACAGCATCAAAGAAATCTCAACAGGCCAAGAGGGAAGAGAAGCCCAAGAATCACTGGGCCCAGAACAGGGTTAAAAAGCATGAAGACTGTAAAGTGACTCCTGTCTGTAACTTAATGAAGGAACTTCTGTGAAAGTGCTTTATAAACTGTAAAGCTCTACATACCCATAAAGGATTATTCTTCAGTTATTAATAATAAACATTATTTCTTCAGGAATTAGGCTGTTTTCCAATCTTTTATGTAATAAAGGAGATAAATGTTCTTCTAGAATTCTTAGGACCCACTGATATAATTCCTTCTTGCAGCAAGCAACCTTCCCTTTGATGTCCCTGGTTTAACAGGTGTTGGTTTTCTCCTGTCTCTGCCTCTCCTCCTCAGACTCTAAAGGATGCCAGCGACAATGCACGCAAGGACTTCCATCGCGAGGCTGAGCTGCTGACCAACCTCCAGCACGAGCACATTGTTAAGTTCTATGGCGTCTGTGTGGAGGGTGACCCACTCATCATGGTCTTTGAGTACATGAAGCATGGGGACCTCAACAAGTTCCTTAGGTACAATAAGGAGTGGAGGGGAAGGTGGGCTGGAAGAGGGAATAGGACTTCCCAGCTCAGGCAATTTGTAGCAGAAGATATGGTGTTCCTGGTAAGGGTGAAGGGATCTTTCTTTGGAACAGTATTTTCTGATAACAACAGCAACACATGCCAGAGAAAGGAACTGGACAAAAAAAAAAGGCAAGGATATTATTATTTTTATTTTTCTTAAATCAACTAATTCTACATAATGTTGCTAATGATTCAATTTCATGTAACTTGCATATATTGAGCATATTATGATACATGACATGTGCACTGGAGATGGGTCTTAGTGGGCATATATGAGTTGCCAGGTGCATAAGAGAAGAATATTATTTAAGGCCAAGGAACAATAAGAACTAAGGTACCAAGATGCCACCATGAAAGGTGTGGTCAAGTGAGAACAAAGAGTATGGGGTTACCAGACTATGGAATGAACCTGGGGAGATAAAGTAGAAAAATAGCTGGAGCATGTTGTTTGGACTTTATTCTGAGGACATGAAGACCAACCAGGTCAGTAGTTCAGTGGATCTACAGTGGGAGAAACAGAACCCAAAGAGCCAAATCTTATAAACAAAAGAGGTAGGATGATATTTGGTGAAACCATTGAAGCTTTGGGATCATGGTTATTGCAAAGACTCCAAGATCATTAAAACATGGACAGGTTCAACTTGACGGACTTTGTGGTAAGCAGGGTCACAAAAGAAATCAAGGCAAGGAAGGGAAAAGTGGATGCAAAAGGGAGTCATTGGGTTATTAAATAGGATTGGGGTCATTTGGATTTCTAGCATTGTCCTGGGGTTTTAATTCACTGTTGGCTTCTCAAGAAGTTCCTTTCCTCCAGCAATGGGAGGAGGAGGCACAAGAAAGGAGACAGCTCAGAATGAGCAGAATCTGATGCAAGGAAAGGTAAAGTGTTTTTGGAAAAGCAAGACTAACTCACAAAATATGAGGGATTCTAAGAGTGACCTCTGAGGAGACATAGTGGCAAGAAAATATGAGCAGAGATTTTGGCCTTCAGACAGAGTTGAGGTTGAATTTGAACTCTAGTTTTTATTAATTGAGTAACCTCCTGGCTGTTCTGATGAGAATATTGAACTAGCCAGGGAGCCATGAGAAAGGAACTAGAAATTTTTTATCCTAGAAGCAAACAGAAAGTGTTCAATAAGCAGCCAGATGCTTGATTCTGCTAGTAGCAATTTCTACCAGTAACCTGGCTGCCTCAGAGAAATCACAGGAGTTTGATAAGATGAAGGAAGTTGGTGGCTACTCTGGAAGGATTTATTGAAAGCATTCTCATTTTGTATCTGTCTTGAAAGAGAAGTAATACATGATGTCTGATACCCACTGGTCAAGGAAACCAAGTAATATCTTTATTTGAATTAATCAGGGGCACAAATAGAGGTACTACATGCAAGATAATGAACCTGAAGAATCTGAAGTCCTGATAATAACAGGAGACTTATGTTCTTCTTCCTTTTCTGTATTAGCTGCTATTGTCCCACAAGTGGGTTTTTGGTCTACTTTGCTCAGTGATCTCTGTTCCTGGGGGTTTTGAGTTAGATTTCTAAGTCTGTACTGGCTCTAACATCCTATTCATGCTATGTCCTTTCAAATTTGGCTGGCTCTCATTTTTGACAGAGTAGTTAGTGTACTGCCTAACTACTATATCTTGATATCTAGATAGCATAACTTAAGAGAAACAGGAAAGATGTTAGAGGCACATCTTTCCACTGACCACTTGCCCTTTTTGGCCTGATTCCTTACCTGTAAAATGGATATAATATGTATCTCAAGTACAAGTATGGGAACTCTTGTGAAGAAAGGTAATCAACAAAGGTTTTCCCCATAACCCTTCATCTCTGCTACATTTTCCTCTTTATTTTAGTTCAGGGGTCCTAGAGAGTGACACCTTTTGTGTGATGGCAGTGCCTATATCTCTCTGCCCTCCTCCTATTTCCCATGGTACTGTAGAGGGCTTTGCAAAGAAATCAGCCCCAGTTAGCTTCACACATCCGCTAGAAGATTCAGACATGGTGCAGTTTAAGTAATCAGTCAATCACTGTGAGAACAGTAGAAGGGGGAGTGTGTACTGCTGTTTTTAGAAATGTCATCACATGGTTGGTGCCGTCTGGATCATTTTTATCATCTCTAGCCTCATGGCTACACATACAATTTAGTTCTCCTTGGCTGGGATGGATCCCCATTCTCTGCTTTTCCTCTGATTGTGTGGGTGAGGGAATGCTGGATAAGATTAGGAGCACATAGTCAATTCTAGGTATTCAGAAACAATCCTAATGCATTATCCTATATCAACAAGATTTTTATTGCAGGTGATAAGCATGGGATGATGGTTGCTTTTGCATGTTGTTTTATCAGATCTAGTAAAAAGAGGAAAAGAAGATGAATTTGGTTGGAGTCTAGCTGTTTGTTCCTAGGAGAAAGGTTTTCACCAGGCCTCAGGCTACTTTCTTAATCCAGTCTGGTGCTTTCCCAAAACTCTAGCATAACAGATCCAAATGTGCTCACCTTGATGCAATTAAATGCCTCTATGTGCTCAGAGTGTGTGTGTGTGTGTGTGTGTGTGTGTGTGTGTGTGTAGCAGGGAAGAGAAAAGGGGTGAGAGGAAGAGGGACAGGGAGAGAGAGACAGAGAGAAAGGGGAGAGAGAGAGAGAGAGATGTAATTTGATTCTCTCACTTTGTAGCTCTTTCAACCACACCCTGGTCTCCTTCCTGCCTTCCAAAGAGGAAGGCACTAGGTTTTCCCTTGGCATCCTGCACAGGGTGTGGAGGAATTGGAAACCTACCCTGCTTAATTTCAGAATCTGCCAAGCTCTATAAACAAGAGGTCTGCCATGCCAAGAATCAAGTTCTCAGGTGCAGTAATGCACTGCTAGTACAGGTTGTCCTCTTTCTGGGAGGATACCTAATATATATATATTCCCTGAGTGTCCCTGGCATTGCCTGATAAAGACAGATGTCTTCTTGTATAACTCCACCTCTTTTATTAATGTAAAAGCATATATTGAGCCAGCTCTATCCGAGGTTGGGTGGAAAAAGAGGAGGGAACTACAATAGCTGATTTCAAGAATTTTACAATGTTTCCTTTTAGAATCTGTCCAGAGTTCCCCTCTAGTGAGAGGAAAGATATTTTCCAAGCAGTAGCGGCTAATATTTATTAAGCCTTTCCAAGCATGTTTTAGCTTGCATAAACCTAATAAGCTATTTGAATTATCATTTCCATATTACAATTGAAGCAACTGAGTCACATAGTTAGCAGGTGACAGAACTGGGACTCAAACCCATGACCCCTGACTGCAAAGCCCATAGTCTTAACCACTATGCAACTCTTCCTGCTGAAGTAGCTGTGAAAAAATTCAGAAGGAGATGGTTAACAGGTAGAGGGATGCAGTTGCATAGGAGGAATGACTGCTAATATTCCATAGCCAGTAGGGTAAAGATGGTTGCAAACAATTAATTGTATATTTCAAAATAGCTAGGAGAGAATATATTGAATCTTCCCCCAACACAAAGAAATGATGTTTAAGAGAAGTATATGCCAATTGTTCTGAGCTAATAATTCATTATGCATTGTATACATTCACTGAAACATCATCCTGTAACTCATAGATATGTTTGATTATTATGTCAATTAAATTTTTAAAATTTTAAAAATTAAAAAAATTACTTTAATTAAAAAAAATTCAGAAGGAAAGAAATGTGCTGCGGAATTCCAGAGCCTGTGCAAGATGGTGAATTTCTAGCTGCAACCCACACTGGTAACAAGATGAGGAAGGTTGAGCAGCCTCTTGGTCAGGCCCTACAAACCTGCTACTTGCCCCCCAGGCCAGGGTTCGCGGAGTGTAATTTCGCCTCTTAAGGACCCTTCTCCTCGCAGAGGTGAAATACATTTCTATTTCGAAGAACTGTAGGAGAATCTGGGGAGCAACAGCAGAGTTTGCTGTGCTTATTTTATTTAGGCTTCTCTTAAGAATTGTTCAGAAGATTCGCCTGCCTTTCTTTTTAGAGCAGAACTTTCTGCTTAAAGAAAGCATCCAGAGGCTTCTGCCAATAAAAAGCACTTGGTTCACACACCCAGAAGCAAACAGGAGAAATGACTTAACAATGCAGGAGCCTCACACATGGACGTGCCAACTCACGTGCAATTGCTAGTGTGAAATGCACACAGGTGGCTTCTGTACTGCCTTCGGGAAGACCCTTCCTCTGCTCTGGGGTCTTTGCTTCTGACAGATACTTAGAGCAGTTCACTTTTCTGGGACTGAAATAAGGATGTGGGCAATCCACAAATTATTTTAATCTTTGAATTAAAATTATGAAGCTTACATCCTGGCCCAGATATTTGGAGGGTTTATTTCAGATCTACCTTTATTATGTGCATCCCCACATCTTTCTCCTGGTGTTGAGTCCTCAGTAAAACTGAGGAAGAGACATGAAAATAGTCTCACTTTCCCCTGCTCCCTAAAGGATTAGACTTGATTAACCATTAATGAGGTGAAAAGGGCCAGCCCTTTGGTATCCTAAAGAGGAAAAACGTGTGCTTTCATATCACCTCTTCATATTGTTTTTTAGAGATAATTTTTTTTTTTTTGCAAAGCCTTCTTTCTCTCTGGCTTTGCTATGAAAGGTCATGAAACATTATCAAGCAAAGTCTTCATGCTTCCTCCCATCAATAGCCTTAGAAGTGTGCAGTTAGTATCAATAGTTTAGGGAATAAGGAAACAGGCCCAGAAACATTATGTAACAATCCTGAGGTCACACAGATAATGTGTTAGGACTGGATTCAGATTCAGTTCTGATACTCAGTTTGGCCTCTGTACTACAAAACCTCTTATCTTCAGGGCAGGATTTAGAGCTAAGGAAAGCCCCAAACATTCCCTGGTTCCTCAGTGTAACAAGAGGCAGTTGGGGGTTCTGGTTTGAGAAGAGAAATCCAGGAAGCTCCTGCCTCGAGAACGGTTAAATCCAATTATTTAGAGACAGAAGGGACCAAAGAGATAATACAGAACAATGTCCCTTTGTATTTTTGATTAACAAGGAAATTGAAGATTGGAGAAGTTAATAGATGTCTTAAGATCATGGTGCTAGGTACCAGAAGGCCTGGGAGACTCCCTCAACCCCTTGTCTAGTACTTGTTTCCTGAGAATGCAAGATCTGGTGACAACACACTTTGGAAGGGAGAACCATTGTGTGCTGGAGCCATGATGGAAGGCCAAGGACATACCTGTGGCTAGAGCAGTTCATAGGTAAGAAGCAGGGCAAAATGTGAGGCTGCTTTTTTGTGGATGATTCTGTCTTTCTCATTTGCAAATACTAATATAGTTCTTGAACCCTGCAGATGATATGACATCATCTACTTTTAAATTTATTTAAAATTCTATATTTATTTTAAATATTTAAAAATATCTTGAAGGAGAACTTCCCCTCCCTTATTTTCTTCTGCAAGGGAGAAGCCTTGGACCATGCCTTGGCCAGGCCCAGCAGCAAACCATACCTTTATTACTTGCCCTGCAGCGCCCCCTCAGGCCATCAGGGGCAGTGATGTCTGTTTTGGAGGCTTAGTGCTAGATCCGGATCTGCAACTGCCATTGCTAAGGGCAGCATCCTAAGCCTGACTCTCTTCTCCATGAGGCATATGCCAATATTAAGATGCCCTAATTCATCATATACCTAGGAAGGGTATATAAGATAGAAGAAAAAGAAGGTTAAAAATACCGTAACTCCACCCCACCACCTCCATAGTATAGAGAATCAAACTTTCCCCAGTGAGAGAAAAATCTGTGTTGTGATTCAGAAGAGTTATCTTATGTGTTGATCAGTACATGTGTTTGTCCAGAAGTCCGGAGGAGTGTGGGCAAAAGGAAATGGTAATTTTCACTGGGAATGAGTGTCCATGTTGAGTACTCTGGGACTCTACTGAGCTAGGCATGAAGTTGAGGGCAGCTTGAGAGTATAGCAGATGGACTGAAGGAGACCACCAGCTGTGCAACTCTGGTGCTGGTGGGAAAACTCTGGAGGGATCAGCTTCTGGAGGTGCTGCAGCAGCCGGCTCAGTGGAGAGGGATGGGAATCCCACTGGGGTGTTATGACCACATCTAGAGAAGCAATCTCTCCCCAGTGTTTTGTGTTGCTTGGGTTACCTTCTGCTTCTCTGAGTCAGAAGCTCTGCCTAATGCCTTTTCTGGAGCCCCTAAAATATAAACCTATATGTGTATTGTACTGTGGGAGGGAACCCATGTGGCCCTGGGAATTCACATTCTTGGGGGAAATGAAGCATCCTGGGTGGGAAGGGAAGCATCTTAGTCTCTTCTTTGTGCTAAGTCAGGCAGCCTCTTTAGGCATGGGCAGTTGAGGCAGAGCAAAGAGCTGAGGCTGCACCTGTGCCTTCCTTGTCTTTCCCCAGGGCACATGGACCTGATGCAGTGCTGATGGCGGAAGGCAACCCGCCTACGGAGCTGACGCAGTCACAGATGCTGCACATTGCCCAGCAGATCGCGGCAGGCATGGTCTACCTGGCATCCCAGCACTTCGTGCACCGAGACCTGGCCACCCGGAACTGCCTCGTTGGGGAGAACCTGCTGGTGAAAATCGGGGATTTTGGGATGTCCCGGGATGTGTACAGCACTGACTACTACAGGGTGAGTGGCTGTGCAGGCACCGGATCCTTCTTTTGCAGAGGATCCCCTGTTGTGTTGGGTTGCCATAACAAAACGTGCTAGGACAGGGGACTTTGACAACAAAAGTTTGTTTCTCACAGTTGTGGAGGCCCAAGATCAAGGTGGTAGCAGGTCTGACTTCTGCTGAGGCCTCTTTCCTGAACTTGCCACTCGTTACCTTCTTTCTGTGTCCTCATGTGATTTTTATTTTTATTATTATTTTTTTTAATGTTCACAGTTCTCTATGTAGCTCTTATATCCAGATCTCCTCTTCTTATAAGGCCATCTGTCACATTGAATTAAGGCCCTCCCTAATGGTTTCTTTTTCACCTAATCATCTCTTTAAACTCTTATTTCCAAATACAGTGACATTTTGGAGTATTGGTGGTAAGGTCTTCAACATAAGAAGATAACACAGTTTAGCTCTTGACATCCCTCCTATTCTTTTCATGGCTTTCCAGAGTAGTGTTTAACATCTTCAAGAGTTTTCAACTTGAGAATTTCCAGAGGAACATAAGGATGTGGGGTATTCCTGGAGGTCAGAGATTGAAGGATTTGGAGGTTAGGTTTGAGTCTGAAATTATGCCTGGAGCCTTTGTTCTAGGTTTGAATTAAGAAAAAAACTGGTTCACATCAACTATCACAGGGGAGTGGAGTTATAGAATCTGCTGATTATTAGAACTGACCCCCAGGATATGATGTATTAGTTAACTGAAGTGGTAGAACTTGGGTATGAGCCCTCAAAGTCATAATAATTAGAATGAAGGTTTGGGGTCAATGTTCTACTATCCCAACACCCAGTTTGTTTTCTCATTTGTGTTGCTTGACTTTCAAGGGGAGAGGAAGGAAATCAGAAGTCAAGAAATACTGTGCTGGATGTATATAGCCTAAGAGGATAAGACACAGAACTTGAATTTCCTAATAGGTTGGGGTTGGTAAAGATTATGCCTTGTTCTTCCCATGGTTGCTTATTTTTGAGAAGGCAACTTCTTAGTTTCTTTTCTATACTACTACCTGCATATAGCATTAATGATCTCCAATGCCTCTGTACTTTAGCAGAACCAACTTTACCACAATTAGTTTAAGAAAATGAATGCATTGCTTTGCTGCATGTTCTTTGGTAGATTGTTTTTGGTGTTTCTTCCTTTGCCACCTTGATAAGCATTGCTCACATTTTATGTGGCAACAAGGGATAGAGATTAAATTAAAAGGATTCTCTTGGTTATATCATAGGCACAGTCTTCACCAGAGTTCAAAACGGAGCTTGAAAGCACCTGTCTTGAGTCTAGAAATGACTAGTTCATTCCCAATATCTAAAACATGAAAGATATTTTACCTATTAATAGATGCATCTACTCTACTAGTTAATTATTTTCTTGGTGAGAGGTGGGTTTGGGGTGTTTCTTAGCCTCAGAAGACAAAGAAACACATGGGTGCAAGACTAAGGAAAAGCTTTGCTGACCTTTATGCATATCTAAGGCAGAAACAACAGCTTTTTCTTTACCAATAAGTTAATAATGGTTTCAAAGTAAGTGCTCAGTAAATGTTTGAACCTGATTATTACCAAATCAATAAAGATGCACTTTATCTCCAAAGCCAAGACTGAACTAAGTGGAATTTCTAGAAAAACATCTCAGAAAATAAATACAGAAAATCTCAACAATATAATTCAAAAATAGGCAAAGAATTTTTTTTATTAGTTGCTCATGACAATACAATGATTTTGACATATCATACATTTGAATCAAATGGGGTATAATTTCTCATTTTTCCAAGTGTACAGGTTGCAGAATCACATTGGTTATACGGCCACGTATATACATACAGCAATACTAGTGTCAATTTTATTCTGCTGCCCTTCCTCTCCACCTTTCCCCTCTCCTCCCCTCCAATCACCTCTCTCTATCCAATCAAATATGACACATTTCTCTCTTTTTTTTCTCCCTCACATCATCATACATGTATTTTGTATAACGATGAGGGTCTTCTTCCATCTTCCATGCAATTTCCCTTCTCCCTCCCATTCCCTCCCACCTCTCTTCCCTATTTAGTGGTAATCTTCTTCTCATGTTCTTCCTCCATACCCTATTTTGAGTCACCCCCCCTTATATCAAAGACATTCGGCATTTGGTTTTTAGGGATTGGCTAACTTCACTTAGCATAATCTGCTCTAATGCTATCCATTTCCCTGCAAATGCCATGATCTTGTTATAAAGAATTTGAATATATGTTTCTCACAAAGAGATCCAAATGTCCAATTAGCACATGTAAAAATGCTCAATATCATTAGTTATTAAGGAAATGCAAAGAAAAACTATAATGAGCTATCACTTTACACCCACTGGGATGATTTGGTGAGAAGACAGTAATAAGTATTGATGAGAACGTGGAGAAATTGAAACTCTCATATGTTGCTGGTAGGAATGTAAAATGGTTCAGCTATTTTGGAAAACAGTTTGGTTGTTCCTCAAAATGTTCAACATGGAGTCACCATAGAATTCAGTATTATTCTACTCCTAGGTGCATACCCAATAGAATTGAAATTATATGTTCACACCAAAGCTTTTCCAAAGAGTGGAAACAATTTAAGAATCCATTAATGAATTAATGGAAATCCATACAATAAAATATTATTCATCAATACAAAGGAGTGAATTACTGATTCATGCTACAGCATGGATAAACCTTAACACATTATGCTAGGTGAAAGAAACCACACACAAAAAGACACTTATTGGGGGCTGGGATTGCAGCTCAGTGGTAGAGCACTTGCCGAGCATGTGTGAGGCACTGGGTTCAATCCTCAGCACCACATAATAAATAAATAAATAAAGGTATTGTGTTCATCTACAACTAAAATAGATATGTATTGTGTGATTCCATTTATGTGAAATATCCACAACAAGAAAATACATGGGAACAGGAAATTGATTTGTAAGGGTCCGGCGAAGCGTCGGAGGAAGAGACCACCAAGAGACTACTCATGCAATTGGCAGAAGGGGATTTATTGATCCAGCATGCTGGGGCTCCGTGCCCACTCAAGAAGGGAGAGCAGCCCAGAGCCCAGAGCAGAGGTTGTGCAATGCTTAAGTACACTTTTTGGGGAGGGCGGGACTTTACATACATCACAGTCTCCTTTAACAAATCATCATACACTGCGGGAAAATCAAACAACAATTCCTAAACATGATTAGTTCATTCATTGGCGGGAACAGGTCGGGCGGGGGTGATAGGTCAGTTCTAAAGCGGGGTACACATTTAAACTGATTGGTCCAGGCCCTGCGATGCCTACGTGCAAGGCCACACAGGGCCCTAAGTTATTAAACAACCAGGCGGTCAGGGGGAATATTTACTGGGCAGTTCGAGTATTGTCTTAACAGCTACAGGAATTTCAGGTTTTGCATGTAGCATAGGAACTTAACAATACCTGGTCCTTTACATTTTAACTCAGGCCTTGCAGCTTAGAAACTTTACAATGCCCGGTCTTTTACACTTTAACTTCAATTTCTTTTACCCTTACAGATTCATATTCCAGAGGCTAGAGGGAAGGGAGATTGAGGAGTGACTGCCACTGGTTGTGATAAAAAATGTTCTAAAATTAGTTGTGACAGTTGCACAGTTTTGTGAGTATGCTAAGGGGAAAAAAAAACTGCATTGTTCCCTTTAAAAAGGTAACTATGGTATGTGACTCTTATCTCAAATATAAAGAAAAACAATCCTGTAAAGAAAAATACTAGTGAAATATTGGTCATCATCATGCACATAAAGAGTGAATCTTGATCATCTGCACATTATAAAAACATTGATATTTGTTATCTACCATATTTTATTATCTTTTGTTGAAAAGAAAACCCTCCACATATGTGACAAGATCCTGAAGTACCTCCTGCTGAGCTGATAGGAGGAAATAACGATCCGCAGCTCCTTTATTTGTTAAACACTCCAGTCATTAAGAAATGAGCTTCAGATGTCATGTTAATTTCATCCTCCCTGCCCCATAGTCTTTACTAAGTTGTACTTGCAGAGTTTTCAGGTCTGTGTTTGTTTTGTTTGCTTGTTTTTCCAACTCAGAACAAGGGAAATGAACCAGGCTTCCATGGGCCTCTGTTTCAGGCGGGAGGGGCAGGAGAGGGGAGGAAGTGGAGGATGGATGGGAGATCCAACAATGGATAGCCCGCCCCCAGGAAAACAAAGAAATTTTGAATTCTATTTTGACGTTTCTAAAATTTTGAAATGATGGTCCACCCTTTGGTTTTGTAGAAGTATTTACAGAAATATTTTTGCTTATTGAAAAAGTATATGGGGGGTGGGCATTCTGTTGAGTTTGTTGAACGAACAAGCAGAAGGCGCTGCTTGGGTTTGCAGAACTTCAGTATGTCTGCGGTGGCTCTGTCTCAGAGCACACTTGCTTTCACATGAGTTTTCCCCCTGTTGGATCATTTATGTGCCCCGTGGCACTCCATCCCCATGATGGTGTCTCTTTATCTTCTCTATCACCATAGCTAGGGTCATGTGCTGTCCTTAAGGTTCAGGTATCTCATTGGCCACACCTTAAGTAAGGTTTCTCTTCCTCATTTTCTTCTTATCCTCTCCAACAGCCTGTACCAAACACCAAAGTGAGTAACTGTAGCTGACATGGGCTGTAACCACGGTGCCAAAAATCCTTTCTGCCACAGTAATGACAGAAGGTTTTGTGTTGACCTCTGCCCTCCATACAGGAGGATCAGGAATGGAGTCGACTAGAAGTAACATATTCCTTAGCTTTACGGAAAAACTGATCCCTGTGGAAGCCTGAGACTTCTTCTCACAGTGGCTTGTGAGCAGCCATGTAGGGTAGACAAGACACTGAGCAATCCAGGAGGGAGGGGCTGGTGGCAGCTGTTCCTCCATCATGAGGGAGCTGGCAGAACCAGGAAATGGAGGCCACAAGGCTTCCACCCAGTTGCAGCTGAGCTAATTATACCCTACCAATGCAGGGAGAA